ATTCCATTGGCAGATCATCTTATTTGCCTGCTGAAATTAAGGGTAAATTCACTTAATTTAAGACATTTTTGCTTAATTCTAGATAGTTTTTTCCAGCGTGAGGCCTGATATACTACAGGTCATGTTACTGAGGCAGAATCCAGGTTTAACATGCATTAAAAAGGACTTGATGAAAAGTCCATCAGTGCTCCACTCACCGTTGGAGGCGTAGGGCTGCAGCCGGCTGGATATGTGTTTGTTCCTGTGAGCCCGGGCTTGTTTTTGGGAAAGTGGCACATTAGGATGCCCCATGTTACTCCTAGCTGCCGTCTCCAAAGTTCAGGCGATGAAACTTTCTCAGACTGACATACTGTGACTCTTCTTCTCCATTTCCTTCCTTCTAGTGATTTTTTTTTAGCTCAAATATTTGTTTTGCCTCATGCCTGCTTTGCCTCTCTCCTGCACACTCCAGCTGGCTCTCTGTTCCCTGTCAGGATTAATACAGAGCAAATCCTCACTAAACCTGCGCACTCATGCAGTGTGTGTGCACTGTTAAGGTATTAGCACTTGGCTGACTCTCCTCAGTTTATTCCTACCGCCACACAAGCTCACATAATGCCTTTTGGCTTCTAGAAAATTAGAGTCAAAACAAGAGCACTGGAAAAAACGATCTAGAAATAAGTAAAAATGTATTAAATTAAGTGTATTTATCCTTAATTTGAGCAGGTAAATGAGATAGTTTGCCAATGGAATGAGTATTTTTACTCTTAAAATATTTAGCTCATATGCACTTAAAAATAAGACAATGCAACTGTGTTTTCTTATTTTAAATGTAAATTGTCTTGTTCCATTGGCAAAATGTCTCTTTTATCTCCTCAATCCAAGAACAAATGCACTTATTTTAAGAAAAAAATTACTTATCTAGTTTTCATTTTTTTCCAGAGAGACGGATAGAAACTGGTTTTCTGCACAGGTTAACTGTTAGCTGCAGCTTTGCAGGTTAAGCTCCACATTTACTTGATTACTGTATTTACTTATTGTATACACTGCAAAAAATTCATATCTCAGCAAGTGATTTTTTTTTGAAAATAAGTGCATTTTTCCTTGAATTAAGGAGGTAAGTGAGACACTTCGCCAATGGAACAAGACAATTTAAATTTAAAATAAGAAAAAATAATTCTATTGCCTTATTACAAGTGTATATTATCTAATTATCTTATTTTAAGAGTAAAATCCTCATTCCATTGGCAAATCGGCTTATTTACCTGCTCAAATTCAGGGTAAATACACTTAATTTAAGACATTTTTACTAATTTTTAGATTGTTTTTGCAGTGATAGTATCTTTACTTGGGTGATTTTTTGTTGGGCTACTTCTTTCTCTCCACTACGTTTCAATTTGAAATATACTTTCTACTCCATGTCCAAGAAGCTGCTTGTTTCTTGTTCCTTTTGGCTCATGTTAGGTTTATTCAATGATGATTATAAAATGAATGTGTGCTTATGAAACATTTTTGCAAGGGGATGCTCCACTCCTGTCTCATGATTCAGTCATGGAGCATCCTGTCTTCATGAACTGATCAATTGTTCTGTCAGAACAATACTCTGTTTGTAACCATGTGTCAAGTTCTGTTAATAAAATGCTAAAAATAAAAGAAAGTGTGTTTGAGTCTGGGGTTCAACTGTCTACCCTTCCTGCAGGAATAGTATCCATAAATTGTGTATTTCAGTTCTTCTTTTGCAAAAACCTACATTTTATGAACCCGACAGCTCAGCTTAACTTTTTAATCCTCTGTTGCTGTTTTTCTTTCTTGAAATGTAATTGCATCATGGCAGATAGCAGCCCTTAGGAATCAATCTGGACTCAACTGTTTTAGAGATTTGCAAGAAATGTGAGAAACTCTGGGCAGATATTATTAGTAGTTTATAAATTTTATTAAGGCATTAATTGTTGCCATGTGGCCAAGCTGTTCAGTAGGTCTGAAAGCAGAGCTGCTCTTTCTTTGTGGTTATAGATTCAAACTTATAGGAAAAGTCCAGTCAGCAAGGAATAATCATCATCATCGCAGTGATTCAGAATTCAAACTTCTGAAAGTTCTTTAAATATAAAATTATTCCATCCTTTTCAATAAATGATGTGTTTTAAATTCAGAGTAATTTCCAGCTGAATGTACTTTACTGGAGGCATCCATGTTTGTCAAAGAACACTACTGCCACCTACTGGTTAGTGA